TGTGTGTGTGTGTGTGTGTGTGTGTGTGTGTGTGTGTGTGTGTGTGTGTGTGCGTGTGTGCGCGTGTGTGCACATAAGAGCGACCCCTGGTGGTAGAAATTTCCATTACCGGGGTTATCATTTTTGGGTGGCCTGGATTATGTGGTTTGGGGAGGAAATACTTCAACCCTTTTGCCATGAACTTTGGGGAAATAATGATCAGCTGGGACAGGGTTTTGTTTTGTGTGGTACTGGGGATCGAACTCGGGACCTTGCACTTGCGAGGCAGGCGGCGGCATCACGGAGCTAAATCCCTGGCCGGGACAGGATTTTTGTTGTTGTTGTTGTTGTTTGTTGCAGTTGTTGAACTAGTTACAAAATGATGCCTTGAACATCACCTTTGACCCCTGTACTGTACTAGCAGTAGGACCCCCTTTCCCACATCTCTTCAGCTGTTCCTGTTCTTGAACCTTTTACCAGGGTAACAGGACAAAGGTTTTCATACTTAGTTTTAACTAGACCTCTAAATTGGTTCTGATGACGTTAAAACTAACTGATGAGTTTATGTTTTCTGGAGTCCCTTTCAAGGGAAGCTACTGCTGGCTCAGACATAAGGTCTTGCTCTTCTCTCTCCATCTTTGTGGGGTCCTGAGACCTCTTAGGAGACTTGGGAAATACTTCCCAGCCTGCATTGCAGCTGGATGAAGGAACAGCAGCAGCTCAAAGTTCTTTTGTCGCTTGTTCTTCAGCTTTAGTCAATTATTATTTCCCCTTGAGAAGACTTGCCTTTCATTGGCATGCAAATTGAGAATAAAAGAAGTGCCTTCCAAGAACAAGCCCAAAGAAGCAACTTCCCGTTCACAATTGAAAACAGGGTTGTCCTCAGTAAATGTCCACAGTTCAGGGCCCTGTGGCTACTAACTCAGACACTGCTGAGAACAACCGGCTTCTCTCCTCTCCGGTGATTTGGGCTGAGTCTGTCCTGAAATTGAGATGTTTATAGAAGGAGAGACAGGACACCAGCTCCTGTGAGTCTTGCCAGACCTGGCATTAACCAAAGATACAATAGCATTTAATGTTCATTTTGCATCTGGGTGCCAGACATCATGACAAATGCCGTATGTGTACAAAGTAAAATTCTGTTTTCAGTTCTGCTTTGAGTCCTTACTCTGTCGTGCTGTGGGGAATGCCCATGGCAGCCGTCCTTGGGTCTCCCCTCTGTTAAACCCTGATATACTGAGGCTGTCACCTGGGTCCTCCTCACCCCCAGGGCCATGACTGAGATGCCTACTGGTCCAGCCACACTATGTGTCCATCGGCCCCTGTGACTGTGCTGCTTTCCTGCCACCCTTGGCACATGGAACTCTTGAGCGAGGTTGGGAGCCCCTGGCCTTCCGTTAGTGCTTTTCCTTCCCTCACCCTTCCCCTCCCACACCGTCAGGAAGGCAGGGTGAGATGCTCAGATATCCCCTGCCCAGAGCCTTTTCCCTGTTCTTTCACCCTCAAATGTATTTGTCCTCCCTGGTGGCTTCATCGGACAACCACCCTCTACTCTCCAAAGGATATAGGTTTTTACAAATGGTGAGAAGAGCCACTGACCTCAAATTGTTTCTACTCATAAAAACACTAGAAACAGAAAATGTAGAAGAGCCTGCTGTGGCTATCACCTCATTGTGGGGGCACTGGAAGCATCAGTCAGCCCTCCAATTCTTGGGTTCTGTATCTGTGGATTTAGCCAGTCATGGATCAAAAATATTGTGAAGAAAACTGCATCTGTAGTGAATGTGTACAGACTTTGTTCTTTGCATATATCCTAATGTATTGACAGTATGGCAACTATTTAGATTGTATTGTTAAGAGTAATCTGGAGATGATTTTAAATGTTTGCGCAGATATACTACGCTAATGTGTATAAGAAGCTTGAGCTTCCTTAGATTTTGGTGTCAGCAGGATTTTGATTCCCTAGAACCAATACCCAGCCCAAACCAAGGTACCACTGAATAGAAAGTCAGAAGTTAATATTTCAAAAGTTGTCCCTGTGCCATTCCAAGCTCCACTCCACAGATGAGGAAACAGAGGCTTATGGCATTAGGTAAACTGCTTTAGCAGTAGAAAAGGCTCTTCTTTTCCTCTGAACTGTTCTAGAATCTGGGGTTTACACATCGCCAAAGAGCAAATTCTTCATCCAAATAGAAGCTGGGGTTTCATCAGCTCAACTGCCCTGCTTCTAAATTGCCACCAGGTGGCGCTGTTGTCATTTAGCCCTGCGTCGTCCAAACCCTACAGAAGCTGGGGGGCCTGTCTTCCTGAAGAACCTCCCTAGCAGGCCCTGAATTCTTCAGGAACAATGATCCCACCCTACGAGGGTGAAAGTTAACCTCTTGTGACACTCCTACTGCTAAGCACGGTCCAAACACACACACACACACACACACACACACACACACACACACACACACACACCCGCCCCCAGGACTGCCTTGGGTGCCTGAGTCTGGAGGATTCCAGGCTTAGCGTCTTTTGGAGCCCCTCTCTCTTTGGGTATCAACAAGCAGGGATGGGGCAGCATTTTCCTTTAAACCTTATGAGCACAGCCAGTCTTACCACACAAACTTTTCCTCTGGACAATGGAACTGTTTAGTTGCACTAGAGGAAGTGACTGTTTCTGTAGGTAAAAGAATGTCAGGCAAAGGCTGCTTCCTGTGCTCCAGCATCACACAGGGCAAGAATGGCGAGGTACCAAGGAAGGCCCTTTCTCCAGAGTGTAATCTGGTAGGCCTGGGGCAAGGCCTCAGAATGAGCATTCCTAACAAACTTCCAGGTGACAAGGGTGCCGTGGGCCCAGGACCACACTCTGAGGACAGAAGCGTGTGCCGCCCAACTGTGTGGTGTCACAGCTTGGCGTCACTGGGGTTCAGATCCGAGGGCTGGACTGGAGGAAAAGGGCCTCGTGGCAGGGATGGGGAGCCCCAGGTAAAGCGGCACCCTCAGAGGCAGTGCAGGTGGGGGCCGAGCAGGAAGTAAGCACAGACCAGGCTGGTGGGTGCTTACTGAAAATGAAGATCGGCACCAGATGGGGAGCTCTTGTTGGTCAGGTGAGAGGCTGAGAGTTTATCCTGCAGGTAACAGGAGGCGGGGGTGGTGCTTGTGGTTTGTTTTGAAGCAGGGATGAAAGCCGACAAGGAAAGAGAAAGAGATCGAAAGACGAATTTCGAGACCTGGCTGGGTACGTTGGACAACAGTGAGCAATGTCCCGGCAGTGCAGGGATGGTGGCCAGGAGACAGTCCCAAGGGAGGACCCAGGAAACCTGGTAACTACCTGGGTGTGGGTGGGAAAGGTGGAGTCAGAGAAGATGCCAAGGTTCTGAACTGAGAACCCAAAAGAAAGATCTAACTTCAGAAACTAGGACAGTCAGGTGAGAGCTGCTCTGGGGACACTGACCAGTGCAGATGAGGCAAGAGCCACCAAACTTGTCCACTGGGAACGCTGCTGGTCTGGCCTTTATGTAAGCAGGCCCCAGGCAGTGGGGAGGAGTGACATTCAATGGGGTGATTATGGCTCCCGATCCTATGAGATCCTATGGTGGTTTCAATTATTTATGCAAGTTATTCTCAAACCAGGCAATTTATTCCAGCGCTCTTATGTTTGTTCCTCCTTTAAATTGTATTGAAGGGCGCAGGAACAGATCCAGAGAGGGGTGGATGACATGTATGGAATCCTGTGGGCCAGTGGTCTCCCAGACTCTCTGATCATGAGATTTACCTGGGTGTTTGGTGAATGCATCAGTTGCTAGGCCCCTTCCCAGACCTGCAGCAGCACTGCCCCGTGTGGAGTAGGGAGCAGAAGGTTTGTGAAGTGGTTAGCTGCCTTAGCACAACTGCGTGGAGCACCTGTTAAAATGCTTATTTCTTGGCTTTTTCAGAAAACAAACG